TTTCTCGTCATCCTCTTTCTCTTCTCCCTTCGTGTCACCTTCTTTCTTTTCTTTCTTGTCAGCCTCTCGTGTGATTGATGCAAACCAGTTGACGGACGCCCTCAGTTTAGAATACGGAAAATCATGTGTGATTGAACCCCGCCTTATCACACGTTTCTGGCTTTCGTATGGATTTGGTCCTCTTGGATACGCCTGCCTCCTGACAATATCGTGCCGTACTGTACTGTGGCGGCACCTATGTTTTGTGCAAAACTTAAGCCATGCATGTACATCGGTCGAACATTAAATGTATCCTGGTAGATCATCGAAAGGAGTGTTTTGAGCTTGGTCATGTTGTTGCCTTTCCTCCTGACAGAGCAAACATAACAAAAATTATATTTACGAATCGATGATCAGGTTTGTGAACGATGTGAATTATTTGTATTTAAATCACAGGTCCTTCCACTGCTGCTTCTTCGATGACACATCATGATTTTGCTCGCCAAAGCACGATGCAAGTTGCCCTCAGTCAAAGCCCACTCCTGGGATCGCTGGGTCGGGGACAACCTTTTTGTAGTACTTTGCACTGGTGAGCCAAGTTGTTTTTGCACAGTACCGTAAATCAAGATTCCTCTACATCGTCAGTCTTGGGGTCCACCAATTTCCAAGCCGCTCCCACTTCCATAAGTGCTTCCTGGGACAATGGGTGATCGATCAATGTTCAATGACCAGGCTGGTAATTTTGATGCTGGTCAATTAAAGAGGGGAAACGCAATCCATCAACCCCGCCTTCACTTCTTTCTCTGTTGGTGGGTCTACGGCAAAGCTGGGCAACCAATTCATTGCAAACACCGTGTTGGTCTCGGTCTGGATCTGCCCAAGCTGTGCCAGCCAAATTCATTGTTTGGTTCACGTTGATGGTTGATGAATGGAATACAACTTAGCCAGGCGACGGTATCTTCATTGAGACCCCTTTTTGGATGCACGTCGATGAACGTGAAGGTCACGGGTGGTACCTAGCACATTCAAGATTACTGACCTTGCTCTATCAATAAAACGTGAACTCCCACACCACGCTAGCAAGATTGAGCTTAGAGGGCACTCGACCTTCGTCCAAAGTTTGCTCAAGTTTATGAGCCGGCAACCCTTCTTTCCGACCCAGCTCAATGAAGCGCAACTTTCTGTAGTCACCGGAATTCTGCTCCAGGATGTCATTGTAGAAGTCCTGCCGTAAGTGCATATGTGCGCTGGTCTAGATCTCAATTCACATTCTCGAGATCTATAGGGGTGTATCGGTGTTGCGACCCTGTCACCCCCACCCCCCGGCCTTCAACATCGTTACGCGCATCTCATCAGGCTTCGACGTTGGCATTGCGGAAACACTGAGCTCGAGAGTTGGTTGCAATGGCCGGTGCATTGAATGAACTGCATGCGTCAGACATGAACGCACAACTCAAATGATTCATCAAACATGTCCTTGAACCACACAAAGCCAGAAGGTTGAACATCGATTGATGCTTCACTTCTTCCAGGTCCACCGTGCAAGGCAATCAAAACGATCCAGCAGTGCCCTTCGAGAACAGTTATCAAATTAGATCACTATAATATCGAGATTGCAGGACGGTCGCTGCTGGATCGTTGGGCTGATCTGTTTGATCAATGGGAGGCTCGTGCCTTCATCGTAGGTGTCGACATCCCTCCATGTACCTAGATCTAGACATCATACAGGTGTTTCACCAGGATCCTTGCGACCGATCAATCTGCAGGCCAGAAGAAAAACTAAGATTCCGGCGCTTTTTGATTGCCTTCTTCATTGGACGCTTGAACCACTCAAAGTGGCTAGACAAATCGTGACCAAAGTCACTCCGGTACCCTTCAGACCCCCCTACCTAAACCTCACATAGGTACGCAAGGGATCATCAAAAAGTGTTATGAACAGTGGGATTTTCGTCTTTGGGCAATAAGACTGTCAAGTAAAACTAGTACATTGTGTGAACGTCTATGTTCTACTTAGTCAAACTAGTACCGCGTGCATCGTCCAAGTTAAACTCGGACATTGAAGCATAGGGTACTAGTAAAGGTGGATTCTTTATATTTCTTTATCTTTGATGCATTAATTGTATGAAAACATGAAGACAGTATGAAACCACCAGTAATCATTGATGACCTTCGAGATTTCCACGACTCCAGCAATGGATCTGATCAGAAAAATCCCTTGTAGGCAATAGACTTGGACTATAGATCTTCTCGCTGCACCTCCACGATCAAAACTCCACTCTCCCGCTCATCCATTCATCCCAAGGTGGCATTCGCACCTCCATTTCGACGCTGCTGGGCGAGGCTGCATTTGCCAAACCCATGGCCAGTGACACGGCGTCGCCACGCAAGGCCAAGTGGTGCCTCAGCGAAGGGAGCCGTGGAACCCGTTTCGCACTCATCTTGGTTCTCTGGTCTCAGTGGGATATCTAAAACATTATCAAAACCAGAATCCATATGACCCAATCCCGCTATCCAGTCTCCACCTACTTGTCCCGGTCTCCCTATTCCACATGTTTTACCGACATGTCAAATAGCAGGGGTGAGTTGCGAATGGCAGGCGAGGAAGACGCGGTGCATCTCGCGATTTCGGCTTCAATCGCGGTGCATCTCGCGATTTCGGCTTCAATCGCCCGTGGAAGCCACACAGAATGTGCAGTCGGGGTGTACTACGCCAGACACTCCACCGGATTGGAATAACTAAAAACATAAAAGAGGGGTCAGAAATGGGGTAAATGTATGTAATTAACAATTCCATACATACCCATACGTTACATGGTGTGATCCAGTAATTCTAACCAAAAGTCCGCAAGACTGTGTTGCTCGGTTTGCATCTTCGGTTTGCATGGACCCATCATGAAAATAGTTCGCTTCTGCCATTCCTCTTCGCGTCGAGTTCGGATGTGGTTGCAGGCTCCCCTCGTGTGGTCCCACCCGTGTGGATGGTCCCCTGAGCGCCACGGGCGCATGGAGGAACGCCACCACAGCACTGCCGTTGGCGGGCAGCACCTGCAACGCCACCGTGGTCGTGTACTGCACATGGCGGTGTGGTGCGATATTTGAGGCATGGACCAGTGGTGACTGCTTCTTGCCATTGGGTCACACATGATGACGTACATAGCTGTACGAAGTGGAAAGCTGGGCTGTAGATGAAAATCGTCTTCCAAAGGTCCATTTTCAGGTTCAATCCAATGGTAATTTTCCCGGGTGCAAATTCACCTGCAAATACCTCTATGGCACCTTTTGTGTTTCAACCTCTTTTCCGTGAGGAATTCCAGATTCGAGCTTGGCCACACACGCACACTTGCGCGGACTTGGACACACACACACACACACTTGCCGTGCCTGTGCTAAATGACCCACCACCAGCCAGGTGGTGGGGCGGAAAGAGACCCGTGGAAGACCCGCAGGAACCAGCTGACCTCAGCAACGCTCGCTCCGCGCGGATCCACCGCGCATCTGATCGTCCGTTGTCGTGTGGCGGATCGCCCGATGTGGCCCGAGCACTGCTCGGTCTTCGACCGTCCGAGCACTGCGAAGCCGTTGGTGTTTGTGCGGAGCAAGTGAAGGTGTTGAGGGGCATGAAGGGGTGTAGCGTCCGTTGATATGAATTCGACACATGTCTGGATTCCCTTTTTGTGTGCCTGTACTCCAAAAGCCAACCAGTGATTCATTTGTCCGCTCCTATTTGGTCCAGTATAGGAGATCTATTCGCTTCTCATTACCCAAATACGACCCGTCTGGGACTGCCATGGGACTGCAGAGCCATTGGGGTAGTTGACCTGGGGTCTTTCTGGGGCGGCATTTATTCCAGTCCCAGTGGTTCACGACGGCGACCTGCGGCTACCTGCGTGGCCCAAGCTTTCTTGAGCCCCTGACAAGCAAACCACACTGCAGTGTCGGGCAGTCTCCTGGAAAGCTGAAGAGACACCGGGAGCCGCACAAGTGAAGATGATGCTGCTACAACCAGCATCAAAGGTTTGGACATGGGGTGAGTCAGGCCACTTCTCACTCTTTGGCCCATCTATAACAAGTGTTCATTTCAGAGATCGTCGACGCAGTTTCCACGAAGAACACTAGGAGGGATCCTTGTCGAGAAGACCCTCTCGAGTTCCAATATTTTGTGTGGCACGATCCCTGGAACCTCAGCCTCAGAAGCCTCGGTCCCTGATCCGACAGGACTTCAAAGATACACTCCTTGGAATAGTCAATCCCAGACCACTCCACGTCTGGGACTGCCAGTCCGGACTGCCGACCCCATTGACCGACCCCATACCACCCATCGATCGGCAGTCCGGACTGGCGGTCTCATGTGTCGTGTCTGGGAATGGTTACGTTACGTTGGACTCCGCATGGCCTGCCTTGGCTCGCCTTGGCTACCCCGCTATGTCCTCGCCGAATAGTCTCGCTCGTCGTCTTCGTGCACTCCAGGAAACCATGACGTTTTTCCATGGAGTGTGATGAAACGAACGCATACACCATCAAACATATTCAATTGCGGATTGGACGGTCAAACAGGTGCATATATGACGATTCCATGGAGTGTACGACGAAATTCCACCAGGAGAGATGGCATAGATGCCCCCCCCCCCACACACACAAAAATCACAGAAATCCACCCACCAAGCGAGCCTGCTCCAGGAGCTCAACGGAGACTTGGCCTCCCACACACATGAGACATGGCGCCGATCCCGACCGCGAGACCGCAAGACATGTGAAGAGACAGCCTGGGAGACTTGCAAACTCAGAATCGACCTTGGATAAATTTATAGAATAGGGGGGTCTATAGTATTATGTGGCCATCTGATCCAATGTAGACTCTTAAGATGCATCATAAGACCACTTCATTCTGGGGGATTGAATTATCTAAGAGATCTGAGATCAAGAGTGAATAACTCTCCCTCTCAGGAATCCACTCAACTCGCCTTGTCCGCCACCCCAGCCACCCGCCTTGTCCGCCACTCGCGCAAGGCTCTGCTCCTTGGACTCTGCGGACGGGACGGAGGTTTCTTCGACGAGCCGAGCACCGGTTTCTTCGACCCTCCCGGGCTGTGGGGAAGATATAACCGAGACACGACACGTCTGGGACTGCTTTTTTTGTATGCCGAGTCAATGGGGGTGGTTTATTTTGGGGGGTCAATTGATTGGCATAGATGGCAGTCCCATGGAGTGTCTGGGTATAATGGAAGATGAATAGTGGAAGATATGTATCCGGGCTGTGGATGATGGAAAATGATATGGAATGCTATGGAATGATATTAGAGATTGGGCCCCCCAAAACGCTAGGATTCCAACATCTCCTGCATGTTCAACCACCCGCGACCCTGCTTCCCCCCCGGGTGGCTGATATTGAAATACGGAGACCTCTCAGGCCGTTGCCTCCCTGGATTCAGGACGGGAGCCTATAGGCCAGTCGATCCGATCGGGGCCGTTCTTTGGTTCTTCCGGATCGAAGAAATCACACCTCAAAAGGTTTGGATCCCATTCCCTCTAACAGTTCATACCAGGACCCTCCTGTCGGGGTGTTCTGGCTGGACTACCCCACACTACCGGCCTTTCGGCTTCCTATTCCAGGGCACCCCGACAGGAGGGTCCAGGGCACGGCGCTTTGTTCTTGCCCTTCTTTTCTGCCCACCTCGGACGACCTCCTTCACCCATCTCAGCTCCCCAACGACCTCCTTCTCCACAGGGCCCAAGTCGCAACCTGAGAGGCGCGTCTGCCAGCTTGACCGCTTGACCCGTCACAGGAAGGGGCGTGAGGAGTCTTCGGAGTTCCTTTAAGGGGTTTAGTGTTTCAGCAAATAGCACCATGGGCGCCCAAAGGGCTTTGATTCATCTGACATTTTGCCTTCGCGGCATCGATGGGTGAAGCAAGCGAACTCCACCTCTTGTTGAGTGGGAAGGTTGCCCCATATCCCTCCAAATATGGTTTTGTAGGTTATCCACATACTTCCCAGGGAAGATGATTCACTCGATCTAGGATCATTGGCTGCTTGGTAGCTTGGTAGCTTCAGAAGGAAAGACACCAAAACGCACGACATGAAGACATGTTCACCTCTTTTGTTCGTTGTTGATGATGTATACTTCTGATGCAAATGAGAGTCCTATCAACACGGCGAACGTGGCATGACCATCCGAAAACATTCCGATCTGAAAAAACACAAGGCCGAGGGCCTCCGAGCACCACGTGAGATTTGCCAACCTCCTCGCGGAAAGCAAAAGCTTTCTTGTCTCACCAGCCAGGTCTGGTGGGGGAGGCCGCTTCTGGCAACTTAATCTCTCTTAAAATCCTGGGTTCAGGTGAGGTAAGAACAATGGTACAACTGCTAGATTTGGCAATCTTTGACAATGATCTTATCTTACCATGTTCAAGGTATCAAACAAAACAGCTTTCTTGCAATGCTCCTGGTATGTCAAGGCCACCTGCTTCAGCGCAAATAGGAGCTGGGCCTCACACCAGCGGAGATTGAAGGAGGACTGAAGGCTGAAAGACTTGAGTAAAACAGGACATCTCCTCACATGTCTTCTTTTGGTGCCCGCCAACATGAGCTTCTGCCCTCCACTTTTTTGGCATGCAGGATCTGCATCTCATTTTTCGCTGCCCACAATTGTGGTGAAGCATCCACGACTTTTGCGATGTCTCGACATGTCTGGCGTCTGGTCGGATGAAGAAACGGTATGGGATGGTCTGCGAGCATCCGTTGCATGCTGAGACCGGTGATCTTGGTCCAAAGTACTGACTCAAAGATAGTTCATCTACCCTCCGCCGCGAAGACCATTCTAGGCCCCGTTACACAATACGTTGAAACCGTTTGTCCAGCACACACACACAGCATATTGCCTCCCAACTCCTTGTCTGAACTACCTATGGGCTGTGGGTAAGAGTTCTCCTGCCTCTGTCAGTGACATTGGCAAAGTTACATACCAACATGTCCCGTCCTCCTCTCTACAATTCGAACTGGTTTTGATCCATGTCGCATTTCTACCATGATTATTCCTGTGACTATCATATTCTTGTTAAACCATGTCTGGTTTTTTGGCCTGTTCATTTGGCCACTTCTCCACCTTCTCAACTCGAACCACCATGGACCCGAAATTCATCGTTCGATCTCACGTTCGTCTTCCACCGAACTCCACCGAATGAACCCAGCGTCCATTTCGCCCTCAAACCTGGACAGCCCGTGACACCGGCGTCGCCTTCGTGACACCTGCAGCGCCGGACGACGCTGCAGCGCCCGAACTCTCCGGCGCTGCCTCCTCCGCCTGCGGTGGCAACGGAGGGACACCCTGTCGCATCCGTCAATTCCCATGGCAAACTGTGGGTTCCAGGCAACAAATATCCGGGGCGAAGCCATGTAATTCCCATACACGACACATGGGACTGCCAGGACGGACTGCGGCCCCATGGACCCCCCTGGCACCCACCGCCCCAATTGATCGGCAGTCCTATGCCAGTCCGATGGAGCGTCTGGGATTGGTGAACTCTGGGCGCCCTCCAATTTTTGTTCCGTTTTTTGTTTAATGGTTGGGTTGCGAAGTCATACCCGAAATGGGCGATCCATGCAGCAATGGACGGTTCCATTGCAACCCTTGAGATTCGTTTTAAGGCCACGTTGACTGACCAAGTAATTTGTCATCCTGTTGGAAACAGAATCCTACGTTGTTTAATGTGTAATTTTAGCCACATGGAAAACATGTTCATACGAACGAACGGCTTTCCCGGCTTAACGCTAGGCATCGCGGCTTTCCCGGCTTAACGTCTTGATCCAAGTCACCGATGCCGAGATTCAACACCGAAGCTTCGTCCTTCGCCCCCGTTTTTCCGCCATCGATGGCCGATCGCCAGGTCTGTTTGCCAGAAATATCGTAGACCTGGTCGACTCCAGCGACTGTCCAGACAGCGCTGTCTAGCGCCCGAATTAGCATCTAGTTTTTGGTTTACGAGATCCAGCTCATCGCCGAATGTACCAGAGATTCTAGTTTAGCCAGCAAAGTCTAGTTTTACAAGGGGGTCTAGTAAACCCGAGGCCCATTCTACAAGGTTGTTCAGAAAACGAGTTTAGAGCTCTACCTGAGCACCTGCTATAGCATCTAGTTCGCCAAGGCATCTCATCTACTTTACCATAGATCTAGTTTGCTAAAGACCTATAATTTGCAATGTTGCCTTGCTAAGGATCTAGTTTGCCAGAGTCCTAGTTTGTCAGGGCTATGGGTTTACAATCTGGTTTACCAGAGGTCTACTTTACAGACCTGAGATCCAGTTTCCCTAGACATCTAATTCACCGGAGATCAAGGTAGAAAGACCCAGTTTGTCAGATCAGGCCTTTCATCTCGTGTACCAGAGCCCTGGTGACATCATTTGGTTTACTGGAGGTACACTCCGCCAGAAATCCATAGAAATCCAACTCATCAAACATCTACTGTAGTTGGGCAGAGCTCCGGGTTCGTCAGAGATCTATTTTATATTGTTTAATCGGGAATCAGAATGGTCAAGCTTTCCAAAGATGCAGGGTTCACCAGAGGTCTACTTTACCATCTAATCTAGTGTAGCAGCTTTCTGACTCACATAAGTCTACTTTACCAAAGGTCTATAGTTTGGCAGAGATCTACTTCACCAGAGATCTACGTCGCCAAAGATCTAGTCTACCACAAATGGTAAGGAGATGTAAAGAGACTTATATAGTTTTGCCAGCTCTAGTTCACCAAAGATCTAGTTCAGGATCAGAAGTCTACATTGCCATCTATAGTTTAAGGGATCTAGATTACCATCGAGTTTAGCCGCTATGGCTAGTACAAGGCACCCAAGCAAAGCAAAACCCATCCAAAAGCATCAGCAACTATCAACAACAATCTCAGCCAACATGAGCCAATATGGGTGGACACTCCCAGGACGTCCCGTTCTGAAATTAGCAACTATCAACAATGGAGCAAACAAAAACTACAAACTATACCATACCCTCTTTCCCCCCAATCAACCCCCAGACCCCCAGAGTTCAACGAGCAAAACACCAATTTAAAATGAACATGGCCGTCTTCACATGTCTTCTCGGACGCGTCTTCACCTTCTTCTCGTTCTCTTCTCGTCTTCTCCCTTCTCCCGTTCTTCGACCCCAAACAGTGTGTCTAAAGGTCTAAGATGGTCTAAGCCCAGGGCTCCTAGCCCATCTCCTCAGCTGGGCACAGACCCCCCCTGGCATCCACCCCGACCATCGGCCAGGAGCCCTAGAGGGTATGAACCAACATGTATTTTCGAACCCCAAACGACTCCCGCCTCGGAATCGCTCGTGGCCCAGGGAGGCGGATCTTCAGTCCTCCAGCGGCCAGTCCGGGTGGGGGCAAGGGGGGGAAAGGTTTCACGAGGAGGGGTTCCAGTCCTTGCGTGACCCCAATAGCCCAGCGCCTAACGAGACCCAGGCAGTAATTGAGAGAGCCCTGCAGCCTCTCCGACTGTGAAGAAACCAACGCATGGTAACGCGAACTACTTGGTGTTCACCCGCGACGGAACGCCTACTGGGGCGTGGCGTGGAGCAAAGGTCTCGCTCCAGATCCAAAGGAGACCTTAGGGAACGCGGCCATCGCTAGTAGGTTGGAGGCGGAACGGCCGGATTTGGCGGAGGGCCGGAACAAGACCTATCGCACCATAAATAATCCACAGTCACAGGGAACAGGAAACACAAGTCTTTATATATAATATATATGCATAATTAAGGGTCTCCTAATGCTTGACATGGGCTTGAACTTGGTACAAGACTTTGTTCCCTAACACAGCAAGAATCATAATGGATCATTGACTCATGATGTGATTGCAGACGGAGTGAGCCAAGTTCATCCGCCCTTCCTCCTGAGGTTTCCTTGACGGTGGCCCGGGATTTTAAGGCAAGTGCAAACAGCTGCAGGTGTTTCTAGCGGCCTTTCCACCTTCAACAACACAATCCACACCGCAAAAGGCAGAGCCAATCAAAGGGCCTGTGTGGGCGGATAATTTTTCGGATCGTCTTGGGCTGTCTGTCTTAGCAGCTTAGCACAAAGAAAAGAGGTGTTGGGGACTGTCTCGTGCGAAAAGAGGCTTATGGTCTGTATAACATGTGCCTCGCAGCGCGCAACTCATGAGAGTTCCAGGGGAATCCCTAGAACACTGTCGGTCAATGATTGTTGAACAACAACAACAGAACCTTTTGCAAGCGTGTGCTAACTGGCTCGTCCTCAAAAGAGGAATATGGTCATCCTCTGCTCATTTGTTCGTCCCTCCCCAAAATGCAGTCAGCTCAAACTCCCCCCTGCAGAAGACCCTCTTCCAACTCAACATAAATATATTAAACATGGAACATTATGGAACATTTCACCCAAAACAACAAGCCAGCACTTCTGTCTGTCGTGTTGTGAGGGGAAGGGACCAAGCTGGTGGAGATGAACCATGAGCTTGCTTCCAAGGTACTCCACCAGGTGAAGGCCCATCTCCAGATCCTTCACCTGGTCAAAACGACAGAGATTTGAAGTCAATGACTTTAGATGCTTTGAAGACAGAGATCTCCCCATTTCTGTCAAACATGATATCACATATGAACACATCCCCCCAAAAAATCTTTGTATTCTCCTCTCTCTTTCACGTCCTTTCTGCACTGCGAGCCCTGACCCCAGCGACGGATGGGTTTCTCTTGCCACGACTTCCCTGGTCCTCGGGCCACTTTTTGACCTCCATGGCTGAAGTCGTCCGCTTTGCTCCGCTCGTCGCCTGTCGCCTGCCGTGCGGTTTCCTCGGCGTGCTCTCGACGCAGCGCAGGCGTTGTCTTGAGCGGACATAGAGGTCTGCCGGTCTAAGGTTGGCGGTGTCAGGATCTTGAATGTGTATTGGGTAGAGCACTGAGTCCTTACGAAAATCCTCATGGATTTCTCGATGGGTGCGCATGGCCTGGAGAGACGGGGTCCAACATGGCCTGCGTCCGAAAAGGCCCGAGGCGAAGCAGAATCAGCATAAACGGACGTGAAAAAGGTAAGGGAACACTGTACACATATTAAGCACAAATGGATCAATATATCAAACAGTGAACCGTATATGGACCATGTACATCGAAATCAATATATGGCATGAACAAAAGCTTGCAACATGAGGTAGCAAAACCTGTTGAATGAGTTCTCCTTGAATTGTTCTCGACCAGCGGCAAGTCTTTGGCAAAACTCGACAACGAGGGGTCTTGCTTGTACGTGAAAAACATCCACTTCACCTCACTTCCCACTTGTAAAAGCAAAGCTTCCCACACAGTTTGCACTCAACGTTATCCAGCCATATCCATTCTACACGGCTCTTTATTGTCCCCTGTTGTCCCCGGCGGTCCCAGAATCTATGTAATTACATGTAATTATAAATAGCTGAAGCTGCTATCTCAGTTTTTGCTGCAGAGAGGAAGGACATGCACATAAACTTGGTATATCCAGCATGTTTACCCCCTCAGCCCCCGCGGTCGCATCGAATGTCTTGGCCTGTCGAACCGTTTTGACTGGCCTCTGCTCCTCCAATAAGCCCTTCTGACTTCACAGGCGATCCTCTTCTTCTCCTACCGGGCTCAGCTTGGATTGGCAGTCCCGGGTTCTTCTTGAACGCAGGACGTCTCAGCTTGGAGGACTGCGATCCCTGCATTTGTCCTAAGAATCAAAAGTGTCCAACAATTCAGTTATCCTGTGGCTTCTCAAGTGTCTTGTCTCTCACTATTTTTCACAATGTCTTCTAGAAGCAATCCCCCAGGTCCTCACCTTCAGCTAGGCCACCACAGCCCCCCCAGGATCACTCCAATCCAGTCACCGCCATGGAATGCTTCTCCCAGAGCGCCACCGCGAGCTTGGCGGAGCTTGGCGGAGCGCTGACCGTGCTCAGTTGAATCTCGGTGCTGCTCAAGGGGACGTCGGCGTAGAGGAACACAGACTTGAATGCAGCCCTCCCCTCTCCTCTCCTCTCCTCTCCCCTCCCCTCCTCTCCTCTCCTTTGGCTTGGGTTTGTGCTTGGGCTTGTGCACGCAGCCCGTGGCAGTTGAATCGAATCTCAGTGCTTGCCAGCCTTGACGCAGCCTTGCATGCAGCCCTCGTCGTGCCAGTCTGGGCTAGTACTGCTGGCACACCGTGGGCCCATTGGCTCCTGGCACCTCGAAATGGAGAGCTCAAAAAGTTCTCACAATGACGTCCAAGTCCAGAACGCTCTCGTCGCCCTCGTCGGCGGCTGGTCCCCACCTAATGCCACTCACCCATGCCACTCTGCGTGATGACGCACCCCGAAATGGGGAGCTGGAGAAGTTGTGGCAATGATGTCCAGGTCCCAGACTTTGCCAGTTTTTGGTCGGCAAACCATGGCAAACCCATCGTTTCAGCTGATGGTCGCCTTGGGCTGTTCGAGCTTTCATGGGGACGACCAGCAGCGACCCGACTGGGGACTGTGAGCCGGTGAGACCTGGTGAGGGAGCCGAGGGAGATCTGTTGGCCAAACATTCGGGAGGTTTTCATTGCAAAACACATGAAAAACACATGAACAACACATCGCTGGTTGCAAGTCCATTTCCTTCTTTCGTTGATTCTGAGTGTTGGCTTTTCTGGTCTTCCAGCACTTTCCAAACTCTCTTGGCATGGGGCAACCCTTACCCGCCATCAGTTCATGAACTGTTGGTCAAGACACTGGTTCGAAGTGAGGTTCGTAACTATAATAAGATACCCATACTAAACCCTATTATAAGGGCTCCAACCATCAGGTTTGGTGGTTAGACCGCCCTGGCACCCACCCCATCCATCTACCGAGGCACGCGCCGTGAGATTTCCGCACGCGAACGCGGACGTATGGGGCAACGATCTCGCCAGTGGCCAGGCTGTTGACAGCTGCGACAAACGTAAGAGGCAGGTGGAGCCTCAGTCAGAATGCTGTGGCAGGTGGATGCAAAGTCTCAGAGCATATGGTCTTGGCATGGTATTGGCTCATACGTAGAGCCCCTTTCATAAAACAGATGTTGGACTAAAGCATATCACCCACATGTCCCTGCAACAGCCACATCATTACCCAGATCCCCGAGATGATCCTGTGTTGGGCCATGTTGGGCCCTAACTTCCTTCTACTACAGAACCCACAGCTCAAATCTGTTCATGAATGCGCCGTCAGAGTAACTCCGCGCTGTTGCCGGAAGGGTAGGGATGGCTTCCCACTCGAGCCTGCCCACTCTGCATGAGACGACCGGCCGGAGAGACGTCTGGCCGAACACACTCGTGCAGTCGGGAAAGTCGAGACACCACTCGGGAACTCAGGCCGTTTAAAGTAGTAACAAAGAAGCTACTAGGAACAAGTGCCTCGCTAGTAGTAACAAGTGCCTTACTAGTAGTGCTACTAGTAGTAACAAGTGCATCGCTACTACTAACACGTGTCTTACTAGTCACCTCATGACATGTGCCGAATTGGTGACCCAACCATGGTACCAGCCCCAGCACCTCACTGCCAGCTCACCAATTGAGAACCCTTTCCCGGGCCCAACAACCCTCCATTTCGAAGACCTGTAGAGTCATGGCCCAGAAACCATGTGATTTTGGGGGGTCCCAGGACGTCCAAACATGACAAGATCGCAAGAACCTCGCCTGGCTCAGTCTGCTTCGTAGTATTCTCCTCGCGGACTTGCAGGCACTAGGAGAAGAACTGCCTACCTATGGGCCATCCACAACACAATGCCAAGTAAGTCGAGCCCGACATCTAACCAGGATCCGGTGTTGGCCCTATATGGACTTGCAGGGCAAATAATATACTATATATTTATGTTTAGGACGTTTGATTGCTTGGGTGTTGTCCTGGAGAATCTGCCATTTTGGTCGTTTGTGTTTTGACTTCCACGGTTTCGTTGGGGTCCCCTCCACCCTGTACGCCGCCCCAATCCTCACTATTTTTGGCTGTGAACGTTGGAAGGAGATCAAATTCTCTGAATTGTTGGCTGCGCGTACCTTTTGGTCTAAGAATTTGGCCAATATGTGCCTATACAAGTTCCAAGCAGGCTCTCTTATGTGCACACCTTTTCCTGTTACTGTACACTCCTCATTGGAGTTGAATTTTTGTGCCTCATGTATTCCATTGTGCACTAAATCAATGATCAGTTTTCAGGATTTGCGGCTGCTTTGCGGATGCGTGCGGAACAAATAAAACTAAAAAACCGTAAATAAACAAATCGGGTGTGCAAACAAAACATTGGGTCGGCTGATGTTGCCTGTGTGCCACACTAACCCAGGGAAGTAGGTTCTTGGGATATGCAAGGTAGGAAATAATTTGAACCGGGACGTGATAACACACATATAAATAAATGGGGCTAAACCCGGTGTATCACTTCCCTCATAGGATCACCGTTCAGCCTTCCGAAAAAAAAAATAAAAAACTGGGGCCAAACGCTGATCCTATGAGTTCAATGATAAACCACCACATGTCACACAGGCGCAGCATAGCTGCGATATAATGGGTGACATGTCGAAATTCCTTCGCCACCATCTACCAATAGTTGTCATAGAAACTCTGAGTCACCTTGTACTGCCTTGTACCAACATAGAGCATGGTCATGTGAGTTGACATGTTCAACAAAGTTAGCATGTAGAGAGTCAAATACATGTGGGATATGTCTTCTTCAACATCCTGTGACAACGAGGGAGTTGATTGACTCGAGTTGGCATTCCATCCTTGTTATACCTTGAAACTCTCAAAGATGTTTGTCATTTGAAGATCCAGGCTACCATGATGGTTTCGCTCTTCCGACGGGTTGCGAACCTTGGAGGTTCGTAGTCTGTCTCATAGCAGTTGGGGACTGGCAACATCTAATTCTTGCAACAGGCAACAGCTTTTGAGTTGTTGGCACAGGATGGGGGTAGGACTTTATTTGACACATCGTGAGGGTCTTGGCAGAAAAAACAACTTGTGGGATCATTGCTTTGCATGCATATATATATATATTATAAAAGGATGGGTCTTCACATTGCATTATGTTGATGTCCTGCGCAAAACCTCACATAGTTCAGAACCCTGAAGGTCTTCCTTGGACCCTTGGTGTCTCCAAAAAGCCACGAAACCGCGGCGGTCCAGAACGAAGATCCAACAGGCTGCGCCGCCAATGACCACCGGTCGAGGGTTCGGATCCGGCGCGGATCCGGCGCGGATCCCGCGCCGCGTCGGATCCTGCCGCGGGAAGCCGCGGTTCGCCGTCCCCAATGCCACGGCGAAACGGCGTTGAAAAAAGGGCCCTGGTGTCTTGGTTGAGGGGGAGAAAAAGCAAAACACCGTAAAACACCTCACCAACCAATACCATGTAATACCTAGCCTGGGGCCCCTTAAAACCATGGACAAAACAATGGTTTTCATAGACAAACACCATGCTTTTTGCTATGGAAAGACCTGGTTTTTGATGGTTTCCCCTTGGTCGTCTGGTTGGGTGGGTTGGTGGTGAGGAAAAAACAAGCCACCGCGACGTTCGCCACACCGGACGGTTAAACCGGTCCAGGGTCTCTGGAAGCGAAGCACCATGCAGGCCATGACATGTGGTAGCTGCCAGTCGTTGCCACATGGGTCGTTGTCACATGGTCGTTACTGCTTCAAGTCTTCAAGAATTCTCATGGATTTGCGGAAAACACATGAAACATCATTACTCCCCAGTTCTGGGGATTCACCGGCCCAAAGGCCACAAAGAGGGAATGAACAATAATCCCAAGAAAACCAGGTTCTTTTTCTACGACATCTGATCAATCGCCCACTACTCCAGCCGACCAACCGGATAACGTCGCCACGTTTTGATCGACATATCCTGCTCGAGCCTGAATGTTTTTGGGTTTTGCTACATCTCTGCAGCCTCTTTGGGGGAAGTCACTGAGCACATGCGCGTTACCGAAAATTCCTCAGTGGCTTGCCATCATTGAGAACTGCTCAAGTGTTTTTTTTGCTTCCAGGGTCATTTGCAAAACAGAAAGAATGGCCAAGGCCAAAGGCCACCAAAATGCACCAAGCCACATACACATACGCACCTGGGCACTACGACCACTCTCGCTAGCGAGCTTTGGGGTTGCTGGAATGCCAGGAACTGAAGTTCGCCGCTTGGCAGCCTATGGGATGCAAGAAGACATAAGAAAACAGGAACTGGCGCCACTCCCTCCAACCCCAAAGCACCATCTCCTGCAGTCTGAGGCAGCCATCGCTGTAGCGCAAAGCATCCTCTAGAATATGCCTGGGGGTTGAGGTGTCATGTCAAGCTCGTCCTCTGACTGGTGGGGCTTGGGGCTTGGGGCTTTGTTCGGATTGGCCTCCTCAGTACCAACCATGTCAGGGGCTCGTCGACTCCAAGATTGGCAGACTAGTCAAGGATGCCCTCAATCACCCACGTCAAGACTGTTTATAGGTGACCTGTCTTCGAGGTGGATCAAAAGTTGTGAGAGAAGAACTTCATGCCGCATCGAAAGCCACTGTACCACGGACACACAACATACCCGCACCGATGCGCCTGGATTGCACTAAGAGAATGGCCAAGCCTGGTGTGCCTGGAGTGAGTCCGAGAACAAGGCCTTTTGAGACACGATGTCAGGATTCCATGTAATGGCGTGGGCCACTACTAAAGTCAGTCTTATATGGCTGGCGGCCGTATGGTACGACTCAAACACTATCGTGCACCCTATAAAGCAGTTGGTCAAAGGACTGTAATGGCCAACCTTGCGCATGTTTCCCTTCTCAAATTCCAGGCCAAAGTCGACGAAAGCTGCGTCTTATGACAACCGCTGCCGAACAACAAGCTCACTGTCCAATAAAACGATTTCTGCTTGCAGTGCATCAACATTCCAATGGCATCCTCAGCTAGAAGTAGCAGCCTCACATCCGCATCTCACCAAGCTCGCACGCAGCCCCCCCAAAGCAGGCTTTGAGCAACGCACCCTCCCTGCACCCGGCTCCGCTCTGCCTGACGACCAGACGCCGCGCAGCATGCGGCTCAGCTCACGCAGCACGGCTGCCAGGCCCTGCCGCGCGGAGGTGGAGCCTGGAGAGCTGAGCTGAATCATGGCCCAGGACGCATCCAATTTTCCAATTTTTGCCATTAGCCCATGATGTTCACAGCGATATCATGGATGGGTAATGGGTGATGTTAAGTCTAGGCACCCATCCCAAAGGACTTTGGATGCATTTGGAGCCCAAGTCTAGGCAACTTCTTTGGAGGATCAGGGTGGACTCCTTCGCCACGATGTTGAGCTGTCCTATCCCTGTCAGACGACCTGTCCGACGACTTCCGAGCAACGGCCCGGGCTTGGTGGATCTCACAGGTTGGCTCTGGGGCAGCTGCGTCAGGGTATATAGTTATATATATATATGCGTTATGATAAAACAAACACATACACAAAGTAAAGAAAAAAATGGTACCTCAGCGGCGCCTTCCCTGCCCTTCTCATGGAAATCGAAGTCACAGCGGTTGAGGAAGGGCAAGTCACTGACCACCAGGTCCACGGAATGATCCGCCTCAGATCGGCCGGGTAGGACCTGGTCCAGTCTGACCCAGTAGGACCTGGTCCTGAACACCTCATTTGAGTATAGTGCTTTAGATATACAGTTATATATTTGATTCCAGTAAAATGAGGTCAAACTGACCTGTAAGGGCCATCTTGACTGTTGCGTAGTCCAAACCCCTCATTTGGAGGGTGTAGGGCGCCATGTCTGCCACCTCTTCAGCTCATGGGGTTTGGGATGTGGATGATGTGGAAGAAACAGAATGAAGCAAACCTCACCCCATCTACATCACAGCCCCACAGCTTCACAGCTTCACAGCACATAGAGTTCGACTCGATGTCTGAACGCGACACGTATATAGTTGGCTCCCTTCCCCGAGCACTTGTCTAAGGGATTTCCATTTTCTGCTCTCACAGCATTCAGTGCCTCGGAACCGGTCCTGGCCACGGCGTCGATTGAATCCGGGGCCATCTTTGGGGTGCAGGGCCCGGCTGTAGGGTCCTGCCGGGGGCTCCAGGCGCGAAAAGGCCAAGGCTCCAGCTTCAACTTCCTGGCATCCCACTGACGGCGTTCCAGGGAGGAACCTCGCAAGAGATCAGCGAGGTTCATTTCTGTTCCAAGAACCCCTGGCTCCTCATGCGCGCTATCCTCTCCGAGGAGCCAGGCCCCCCATTTGGGCTCTGAAGGCTTCCGGGTCGGTTCGGTAAAGCTGGGATGGGTGCCAGGAGGGCCGAAGTACCTTCTGAGAAGGTACCAGTAGGACTGGAGGATCCATTTGTCAATTCAACCTACTAGCGATCGATGGAGCCCTAAGGACCCATAGAAGAACCATATCTTCCTCGTGCCTGGTTGAAGGACACCCATCTTCTTCGCCAGCTGGCAATGCAGGCTGGCAGTGTGGCAGGCGCTTGGATCCTCAGCGCAATCATCACTGCTTAGTTATCAAAGATTGATGTAGTGAGGCACCTGCCAGGAGGTTTACAAAACATGCTTAAAACGTCTCTGTTTTCATGTCTTGTTGTACTTGGCATGTTCGGTTGCAAACATCATGGGGCAGGTCTCTGGTCGCAGGTCTCTCCACAGGGTCCGTTCCGTTCCGGCGAACCGGACCCTGTAGTCTGGGTGGATCCAGGGTCCGAAGGTAAGCTGCTCGTTGTGCACCGACGAACCTGATATCCGATGTAATATGGGTGAATATGAGTGAATGATGGTGAATAGAAGAAGCACCATGGAGCGAGAGTGACATAGTGTTTAAACTGTTTCTGACTCCCAAAACACTCAGCCTCCATGGGACTGCCATGGGACTGCATACATTTGAGTGCTTGACCTGGGGTCAATTAGGCATATACGTCAGTCCCACCGGTGGTGTCTGGGGACCGGGAATCGTCCATCGAAGAAGTGCCAGAGGGGAACTATGAAAAGGACGGCACTTCTTTCATTCTACCTGGAGTCGACCTGGAACTCGTACCTCGGAAGTCCTGGGTACAAGTACTGTACCTGATTTGATGGGGTCATGTCCCATTTTCTAAGGCACTGGGTCAGTCGGGTCCAGGTACTTTCATCCAATGTCCGGGAAATGATGGACTTGTGGCGGTCAATCAGCAGGTCTCTGCAGCGCAGGTCGAGACGGCGGTCGAGACGGGTCACCATCCACTCCCGTCATCCCGTCCTTGTCGGAGCTGATGCACAGCAGTCCAGGGAAGCGACATGCAGCTTCAACAGCAATGGTGCCGACACCTGACTGAGTCACCATAGGGCTCCAAGTACCTTCTGAGAAGGTGTTTGGGGTGGGTTTGGGGGGTCTAACCCACCTTCTGAGGATATGGTTGGAGCCCTAGGGTGAGTCAGTGGACCAAAACAAGGCCGAAGGCCGACCGATGACACACACAGACACGTCCCGGACATGTCCCGGAGAATCAGCCCTTCCACGAAGTGTGGGGTACTCTAGGAGAAGTTATGCAATACAGAGCATGACCGAAACCAAAAACTCTCGCATGCGCAAATACGTGATATATCAGTTGGCAAGCTACGCAGGGTGACACATGGTTTGAGAAGTTCGATGATGCACACCGATTCCTTTGTACAATCATCCACTGGAAAGAACTACTGAGAGCAAAGGGTTTGGATATGTCATGTTTGGGATGGATGTGTTTATCAACGTGTGTTTATCAGCCCTGTTTGTTTTCCATCTGCCTGTCTAGCCTTTCTGGGTATGTTAGTTTACAAAGGACTACACTGTATTCTACTGGGCAAATTCATACCCGGTGTGTCTCATTGCTTCAGCACCGGATCATGTGTCACTTGAAGGAAGCGATGCATAGATTCTCCAGCGAAAGTGGACAACATGTTTCCTGACTGCCAGGAGGTACGTGCTTGTGCCCAAATGGAGGCTCGACGCTTCTTCCTTCGCTTCAGAATTCCCCGCGGGTGGGTGTTGGAAGCACCCCACTTCAGGTGTTGGTGATAAAGAAGGATGAAGTGCTATGAAGTGCAAAGGACGTTTCACGATGCGACGCCTTCTTTCCGAAGCCAAGTTGGACACAGACCCATCTATAGCCACATGAAAGGAGGCCCGGAGCCTATCTTCAGGATCTCTATCAAATGGAAGGCTCGGGAAAATACAAAACAAACAAACTCCTGGACACCTCTAGAATACACCCCTGCATCCCAGTGACCTGACTTGATTTTCTGGGCTCTGGATGGTCACTTAGGTCCTGGGGCCTGGGATACCCAACCACGACGGGACTGGAAGAGAGGCCGCCCCTTGCCTCAACCGAGCTCTGCAATCAACCACACCGAGCTCTACTGATCGGGAGACTGCCAGTCCCATGAAGTTTTCGCAACCACCAGCGACCGCCGGCTACGCGTAGCGTACGATTTGATTCCGGTCAAAGTCGTGGGTAGTGTAGTGGGTATCACATGAGGCTCACAGGCTCACAGGGTGAAGTCACAGGTCACAGGTGGCCCCTTGCCGTTTTACCTCTCCAAAAACACCCTCCTTTCTTGACGTGCCCAGGCCCACAAAAAACGTCATTCAATGTCATCTTGCGTCCATGTGCGTCAGTAGTAACAGAACTGCAACCGACTCACGGTCAGTGGATTCAGTGCCCGTAGGGGGGTTGTGGCACTCCCTGGAGATCCTTGGCTCACTGCCCTCCTGAGCACCAGCGAATTGTATGCAACTCAACACAGTGGATCTCAACATCACCGACCCCCCAGTAAACGTCTACCTGGACCCGATTTGGTTCGTTTCCTCAAACATGGCCAAGCGTAAGACCCGAACAAAACACAGCTACGACTGCACCCATTTAGTCCGAAGTACCAAGACAACAGGTAGACTCTTTGACTCTTATGTTGCCCAAAACGACCCAGAACTTCCGCGACTTGACTCACTTTTCCCCACCTGGAAGTCAATCCAACACTGGAGGGACTGTATCTCATTGACCCCTCAAACCACCCCAATTGATCGGCATGACCCATGGAAGTCGTGTCTGGGAATGCTCACCTTGTTTCTCCCAGGACTGCATTCCCATCTCCGAACTCGTCCCGTCCACCTCCAAACGGATCCAGGAGCCGCTCACCTGGGCCTCGAGCGCTTCCGCGCGCTTGACCGCCGCTTGGAGTCTGCGGCGGCGGAACCACACACATCAACACCGGGCAAGCGGTGTTGAACCGGTGTTACCACACTGGTTGTGGAATCACACTCACATCCCCAGAAATGGATTCACAAAAGCACCGCAAAACCCGGCCGGTGGTTCATTCCCGACCAGGTTGCATCTCACATGTTTGATTGAGTGATTCCTTCTGAAAGAGACTCCGAAAACATGGTGTTGTCTCACTACATGTGGTCTCCTCACAAGTTACGTGTTGTGTCTTTGTCTTCCACAATTTAGCAAACATCTGGTTGGTATCAAGAATCCGGGGTCATATCTTCATATCGTCTTTCTTTTCAGACTTATCTAGCATACATAATATTACATAATGCATACATCTGCAGGTTCATAATATGTCCCTCTATCAATGTCCATAAATGTTTTGTTGGACAACAGCATGTGGCATGTGAGTTACTGTCAACAACTCGGTCAATCTCTAAACACACAAACACTATATATCCCTAGGGCTCCTGGCCCATATCCTCAGGTTCGGTGGTTAGACCCCCCTGGCACCCACCCCAACCACCTTCGAAACGGAGGTAGGCCAGGAGCCCTAGGGTATCACAACCATAACCACAAACATAGCGATAGCCGGCTTCCACACATAGCCCTCCGCGGGACTAAATGATTGGACAAATTCTGCAACACCACTGGCCCTGTAGCATGCTCAGTGACTAAACATGCAGGAGGCATGTTGTAGCCCAAGAAATGCCCTGCAGTGGAGGGCAAACATGATCCAACACTCTGTGCCTGTAAGTTTGATCTGACACGGGAAGACACCCATCGTCCCATCTATAGGAATCCCTTTTCGGTCTGAAATGTGGACATCCGGACATCCGAGGAACAAGGCTTTGCCATCTTCAGCATCAACAGGGCTGTGGATGGCCGCAAACGAGGCAAGTTCCGGACGTCATGTGGAAGGTAGGGACGCCGGTCCTCGCGTCCAAGTGAGACAGTACGCTACAACAAAAGGATCCTGAGGCAAGGGGTTTAGGATGGTGATTGTTTTTCTTATCTCTCATTATACATAGGTCCCCACATAGATAGAAACGGTTTCCAATACATTTTCAGTGAGGATTCACTTTTCTATCTATGTTTGGGTCTGCACACACTTGAGGTGAAAAAAAACCTTTTCTAAAATCATTATCCTAGGTTGGAATCACAGCAATTCCAAGCGGTGGCCAGCATGTACCCAACATGCGCTCATGTATATGGTTGTATGTTGTGTATGCCCTTTTAGCAGCTGCGTTCTTACTTACAGAGTCCAATGGTTCCAAATGTGAAGCTCAAAGTAGCCACCCTCTTGCACACAGAAACAAATTGCCAAGACTATACACCCTGGAAAGCACTTGGACAAGTGGTCAAAGTTGCAAAGGGGTCTAGCGCGGATCTAGCGCGGGTCTAGCGAGGATCTAGCGCGCTTCCCTGCCAGTGCATGAGGCCACCAAACGTCTGTGATCAAGAACTCGCTTTCTCGTCTCTCAAACAGTTACTCCCTTTCAAACAGTTGCTGCCTTTTTCAGCGCGCGCTGCCTTTCAAACAGTTGCTGCTCTTGTGCCTATGCGGGTGTGTGTGTGTGTGTGTATGTGCACCAATGAGTGACCGTTACAATCAGCTCTTGTTTGTTAATCTTTTCTAAGTTACCTAAGTACTTGATCCTAGCGCCAAACCTAGTGCGAACCTAGCGCAACCCTGCGTTTTGCTAGCGCGACGAGGTAACATACCCACTTTAAACACCAGAATACCAAGCGGTGGCCAAGCGATTTCTGAACCTCTGGGAACATGCCTTACTTAACACATATTCCCGGTTTTTTTTTTTCGACTCAGCTTGGTAACTCTTGGCACAATGCCACGCTTGATCACAATGAATATATTATACATACGAACGAGAACACCAACACTTACTTGTTGGTTGCGCTCGGCACACCTTCACTATACTTCGTCACAAATAACAACACATTGGGTCATCACTCATTATGTCACTCATCACACACACCCAACAAGAATATTAAAAACATCACATTTACAAAATCCCACACAGTTCACCCCGCTGTTTCATGGGAACCGAGCACAGATCCCTCCCAAGCAATCGGTGGATGTGCCCCTAAAACGTCCGCCATTGGTCTGCAGGAGATTTGGGTGATTGTAGACGTAATTGGTGGTCTCGGAACCAAACGCGCGGGTTTTGGAACCGCGTGGAAGCCAAACATGTGACAGTGTCAGGTATTGTTTTCGACCGCTGCTTCGAGGGATCACGGCTTAAAAGTGCCGAGTTATGGTGCAAGGCAACTCGGTCTCACTAAGAACATCCAATCTGACCCTGGCAGACCACACCAATATTTAACAAGAAAACACCGGGTCCCAGCCGCACCCCGCCAAACCAATTCCAACATATGTGGACTTGCGGTCTTGAGTGGTTTGTGTTGGACACGGTCTGTTGGCGTTGGCTAGAATTTCACGGAGTGTTGATATCTATGTGGACGCAGGTGTATCATGATCGGTGTATACCTAAGTAATTTGCACACAGTCAGCCACAAAATGCTCGCAGCCGCAGGCGTCCTTGGTCGAAAAAACGCTCTAAACTGGCTAAACCGGCGCAGCGCAGGTCGCCCCGCCCGACCCGTCGGACCCGACGCCGCTCCCCGACGGGCACGCAGTGGAAGTTCCGGTCGGCACCGTTGTGGAGCTCTCCACGAGGATTCACCTGGGGCAAAGCGACGTGCTTGACCGCTCCAAAGAAAATGAGGATGAATGTGAAGTTCTGAAGGCAAAAACATGTTCTATATATACAAACACCTCTCCAGATGAAAAACAGATCTCACAGTATTCTCACGCGTTTTGGTGAAAAAAGAGTAAACTGATGATCAAAAAAAGGGGCCAAGTAGGCAGAGGTATACCGATATCACGTGGCTAAGCATTGAACCGCATGGAACTTCAACTCTTTCTCTCACGTAACACCAGTGAATTTCCCTGAGACCGGGGTCGGAGTGACTCTAAGGACCCACTTGGGATTTGGGAAAACAAGAACCACAACAGCTTCGTGGCAAACGCACCTTCGGAACACAAACTCCCCCAAAAAAACGTGGATGAAGTGAAAACCATACAAGGCGGTGCAACCATGGATCTCCCGAAAAAACTACAAGGATATCATTATCATTACCTTCCAAGTCAAATACGCGGACTGGACACTGCGCACGTGTCCTCTGGCTCCAATCCCAGGTGCTCTCCACTCGTCTTGAAGCCAAATTCCGCACACGAACAGCTCGTCGCTGAAGAATCCCATGAGTTCCTCAAGAGCTGCGGAGGTCTGTCGGTTTGTTTTCATGTGAAAAGACCGACAGACCTGCAAAGATGCACCGACCTGAACGACTTTCACCAATGGTTTGCTTCGAAACACCACGTTCAATCATCACCCTTCGGGCCGCACGTAAAATGAAATAATCCCCCACAATCCATGTATGGAATCGTACCTACATTGACCCTCAAAAGCATCATGACACCACGCAAAAGTAGGCAACTATTCCATACGTCCATTGTTTGGGAATCACATTCGTCACCGATGAAAGCCAAGGCTTCAAACTTTTCGCCCGACAAAACGGCAACGGCTGTATCTTTAAGAGTGATTTGCACAACCCAAGGATTCCCAACAATTGACCTTTCCTGGATGTGCATTCGCTCAAGATTATTTTAGCAAATGCCCATCCGCTAAAGATTTAGCAACACTTGAACTAATGGCTGTTTTGGAGTCAAAATGGCTTAGAAATAGATTGTTGCCATCTGATTTGCATCCAAACAAAGGAATTTCATCAGCAACAACTCCCATACCATCAGAATTTGCCAGTGATTTGCATCCAAACACAATGCAATTCCATCAGCAGCTACTCCAACATCATAACTGTTGTGTGCTTGCATGCTCTTGCTTGCACTGTTGTTGTTGTTGTTGTGCTCATTCCAATTGCGCATTCCTTTCTGGTCCGTTTATAACATGTCAAAGTCTCCAAAGCGAGCATTTCGTACGAGACTTCCTCCAAAAAGTCAAGCAGGAAGCCTCATCGGAGCACAAACATCAAGCAGCCCTGCCAAGCAGTTTCGCGATTCCAGCCCCTCCAAACAACACCCGTTCACACGCCAATCCCAATGTCACAGCGACATTCACACCTCCACCACAACTCGCAACCTCACGATTCCCTGCGCCCAACACAAAAACAAAGACACATATACTTAAGCTTTAAGAGAAACCATCTGCAGATTGATCGAGGCAATTGGGTCCGCTGTTCTCCAGGCATACTTGCCCCTGTTCTTTGTCCTACAGAAGCATCACAGATGGTGATGTGTTCTCGAACTTTCTTGTCCCAACACCCTTTTATATACTGTATTTGCTTTCGGGTATTGTGGCTCTTGCAAGGCAGGAGACAAGAGGTTGTCTGCTGAGCTACGAGCTCCGCAGTTTCAGCTTGCCACACCTCCAACACGCACAAGGTACTGCGCGTGCCACGAAATGTGACCTCCGCCACACCTCGCAACCTCACGCTTCCCTGTGCCTGCCAAGAAAATTGCACTTCCACACCTCAAAACCCGCACAAAGTACTGCGCCTGCCATTGAAAAGTGACAATATCATATCACGTTAGCTTAGCAAAATTTGCACCACACCACACGTTTGGAATGATTTTTGTAGTCCACAATACCAGCAGCCATGGCACTGTGAGCAAAACCAGCAGCCTTTGGCTGGTTGTTGCACAGCTGTGAGTCAGAATTTACAAGAATATTGCTCACATTGTTTGCACTACAGCACTGTCTAATAAAGACACATCTCTGCAACACATGCAAGTAAAGCATTCTCCAATACATATACAAATAAGATAGGCTCTTGCAATATCAGCCTGCATTAAGCCCTGCTTTTTCTTCAGTGGGGACTCCCATCATGAGACTTCTTATAAGCTCTAGGCCTCCTTCCTGACATGCTTCCCTGGTGGTCACAGAAATTTGTTTCATGTAGTCATCCGAACCGGTCCAAGCCCATTCGAAGCCAAGCACCAAACAGTGAACCGCTCCATCCCTGGTTCTAATGCGTCAATACTTGTGCATCTAGTAAACAAAATCAATCTACATCCTTAGCCTCAACCATTCGCCCCTGTTCTCTGTGCTCAGGCCATCTTGGCATCCTGCGTCATGAAAAGAATTGCTCCAAAGCACGGCAGCTCTCCGTCCAACAATGCAGGGACAAAGCACTTGAACCACAGCCACCAACTCTTGAGAAAGTAGGTTAATTGCTCCTTTGGTTTCGGGGTAATTACATTGCAAACTTGAATCACAGATGTTTCTGCTCGTTACCAGTCTGTTTGGCCATCCATCATCTAGTATGGGAACAAAAAGAGGAAAAAGAGCAGCACTTGTGAACAAAGTCATTGTTAACCGACTGTTACAGTTAATAGGATAGACTCACAAACCCAACCCATCAACATTCCTTCATGCCTTTGGTTTGGAACCACCCGTTGGGGTGGTTCGGGCGGCGCAGCTGAACGAGTTCTCGTTCAGCGCTCACTTGGCTTGACCGGCAGGTCATCCACCCTCCACCCTTTTCACCTCACCTGCATGGTCACTCCATGCAGTGATTATAGTTATTATATAGATATTCCTTGCAATCATGCTTAAGGGGTTGGGGTCAAGGATTTCATGATCCATTCTTTGAGGGACATTTATAGTGATCGTCTTTACAGCATCTCTCCGCCGGGTGCCGCCAAGGCTCCAGCTCATATCCATAGAGGTCCTGGGCGACTCGACCGTTCCGGTCCGGTCGTTCCGGTCCGGTCCGGGGCAAAGAAAGAACAACGTCCAGCAGTTCCATAACCCTAGGGTACTATAGGATATACTAGGGTACTAGGACTGGTACTATAGGGTGTATATACCATGACCCTCCAACAGGTCTCCTTTGGTTGGGCCTTAAGAATCTTAAGAGGTCTCAATTAGATGACATGTTCCAGGTCGGGACGCTCGTGCTCCAACGAACCGGGCCGGCCACGTAGGTGGACCGAACCAAAGACGAACACGAACGGCTTGACATGTGACTCCATGGCTTGAAACACTCTACCTGGACCCGACTGACCCAGTACCTTCGAACATGGGACCATGACCCGAACAAAAAACAGCTACGACGTCCTACCCATTGAACCCGAGGTACGAACGGGTCGACTCCAGGTATTTTTTGTGGTTCAGGTCTTTGGAAAGGAACAAAAGAGATACCAAAAGCCCACTGCATGAAACCAAAAATGGGCCGGAGAGACGACGGCGAACACCGAAGGGGCAGGTTGAAGGTGTCGATGTTGGATCGGCGATCGGCGAAGTGGGACGGTCTGAGGAACGACCATCAAAAGCAAACTGGGTTTGAGGAACGGAGACCTGAGGAACGGGGACCTGATATTCCAAGAGAGGTAGCCAGTGACCTGAACTAGGACCCTACTGGGGTACCCAACTGGGATAGTCTAGTTCGGGTCATTCAACCTCTGTTGGTTCCTGATACGAAGGAAAAGTCTGACTTCTAGGGTAGTGCAGCTCTTTCTTTGGACTTCTAGTGCTGCTTTTTCTCACAAAGGGACACCTGGACACCTGCTTGAAAATGGCCGAATTGGGAAGGTATATCACTTGTACACGAACTTGTACATTTGCATCTACAACGTGCCAGTAGCAGCACTTAACTTAGTTGCACTCTGCCATAAGCAAACATGTGGGTATACGAATATGAAATCAATGACCAGGGACACACACACACACACATTCAAGTCCGCTTCTAGTTAGTGGAGAACATGCGTACTGTTGAACTCCAGGCAAATCTATCAAATGCCGGGATATCCAAGCTCTAAAGAAACAGGATCTGCCTGCACCATTCTGTTGAACTTATATATATATAGCCTATAGCCATTTATCCACTGGCTTTCTCGGTTCTATCAAATGCATCGAACGTTGATTGCTCGATGAATGCTTTTCCCAGCGACTTTTGGGTCAGGCAGGTGGGAGGATGCGATCGACGGAGAAAGCGGTGTTCAAAGCAAACAGCGCCCAGAAAGCAATTTCAAAACATAGGATCAAGTACTGCAATGATGTGACTTCAAGGTCCAAAGAGAGAAAGTCATGCTGAAGCCTCTTACATATTTTCGCTCCCTCCAAGAATGAAGTGGACGTACTGATCCCTGATAAAAACCATTTTCTGACTACCAAACCCAATAAATACCATTCAATCCTCTACCGGCAAGAGGATGATTCCTTGATCGATTGTTGAAGCAACATACCTCCCTGGAACTAAAATGGAAGTGGACAATCCCCTGCTTGTAAAGGAAATGGTCACTTTCATGTTAGTTACAGCGAGTGTATTCCCGTACCGCATCCAAACAATCAGCGGAAAGAACTGCGCTGTAGACGTTCAGACTGGTACCAGTTGCTTCGGAACAATCTGAGCGTGTCAGAACTAGGAGGCCCACAGGATTTGGATCTTCATCTACACCCTGGGGATCCATGTTAGCTGTGAGCGAGTGATTCGAAATGTAGCTTGTGAGCGAGTGATTGATCCAAAACCCTGTCAGAACTGTCGTGACTTGGGGGCAGCCCCCATGACCGTGCTGGGAAGAAACTAGAACTGCCAGAAATGGAACTATCCTGTTTTCCCACCCAACCACTTCCAAGGTCCAGTCCGCCTCGCCGCAGAAGCAGGTGTCGATTCAATTTTCAACATGAGGCATGGCTGCGCATGGCATTGAACTGCCAAGCTGCTTTCAAGTCTTGCAGCACCTCATGGTATCGCTACTTTGGTCAATGTTAACTTCAATATCGCTAGAAGACATGAGCTGAAACACAAGGTGATATTACTCAATGCATCCCAAGTGCCTCAGCAATGGGCCTTTTACGGCATCATGCTTTGAAAGGTGCGACCTGCCCTAGCTGCTGGTGTTTGGAATGGGGGTTTTGCAAAATGCTGTATGGACAAACATGTTGCCTCTTTAATAAGTCTGGGTTGTTCAACTTGCGGCTGATATTCAGGAAATGGGTCAACACCATTTATTGTCCATTCAACCCTGTTTGGTCCGTTTCCTTTCATCCAGCTGACCCAAACCCTTAAGTCTCTGCATGTGCCAGAATCTGGCTCAGATTGCAGTACTATCCTTGGTGGGCAGCCGGTGGGAGCCATGTCGCCAAAGCCCGTGGTGGTGGCTGAAGAATGGGTTGGGAGTGAGCTTCATATCACCAAGCCAATGAAATTCAAGGTTTCAGTTTCTTATCAGCGCTTGCTTTGA